TTATCTATCTTTAGTTTTTGTGCCTTAGTGTGTTGCCATGGATGTCGGGTCCTGTGAAACTGAAATTACAGACAATTGTGAGCTCACAAGTGGGTGGTAGAAATTGAACCCGGGTCCTCTAGTAGAGTAGTCAGTGAGTGCTGTTAACCACTGAGCCATGGCTCTGACCCCCTCCTTTCTAGTTTTTTTAAATGTAATTTGTTTGTTTGTTTGTTTTTGGATTTTCGAGACAGGGTTTCTCCATAGCTTTTGGTTCCTGTCCTGAAACCAGCTGGAACTAGACCAGGCTGGCCTCCAACTCACAGAGATCAGCCTGCCTCTGCCTCCCTTCCTGGGATTAAAGGCGTGCGCCACCACTGCCCGGCTTGTTTTTTTTAAGACATGGTTTCTCTGTGTATCCATCCCTGGCTGTTTTGGAACTCACTCTGTAGACTAGACTGACTTCGAATTCACAGAGATTCACCTCCTCTGCTTCCTAAATGCTGGGATTAAATGCCAGGCTAAGAGAATTATTAACACAGGCCTATTAACTTCTTAGTCAATAACATGTTAGAAAGCATAAAAATCAGTATACAGAGTCAGCAAAATATATTCTATATCCACATGGATTCATGATTTGTTGATTTTATGTGGATGAGACTTGCTGTCTAATGTTTGGATGCATGTCTTTGCAATGGTTAAGTAGTTCACTTTTAGTACTGCGTACCTGGGATTCTTTACTTGTCTTAGGCATTGAAAACTCTAGGGTAAAATGATACTTGAGAATCGGTAGGTCTTGGTAACTGATCTATTGATGGGGCTAGTAAGCTTAGAGATCAAGGTGGTTAAAATGTGTAAGTCCTGAGAAGTCATGACTTTTTTTTTAAGATGAGATCTCAACTGTGTATCTCTGGCTGTTCTGGAATTCACTCTGTAGACCATACTGGCTTTGAACTCACAGAAATCCATCTGCCTCTGCCTCCCAGATTCGGGGATTAAAGTATACATTAGGCATTGTGTATTTAAATTTTTAAAATTTTTTAAGCTTTTATTTTTATTTTTCATGTGTATGATTGTTTACCTGCATATGTGTCTGTGTATTGTGTGTGTAGTGCTCTCATAGACCATACGAGAACATCAGGTCACCTGGGACTGGAATTACAGATGTGAGCTTTTTGTGCATGCTGGGAATTGAACCCAGGTACTTTGGAAGAGCTTCCAGTGCTCTTACCCATAGATCCATCTTTCCAGCTCCTCTAATTTTAATTTTTGGTTAAATCTGATGACTGCAATGTAGCTCCGTAGTAAAGAACTTACCTGATATGTGCAAGGCCCCAGGTTCCATCCCCAGTGCAACAATGAAAGCAAAAACTAGCCAAACAAAATTATTTAAATTAATTTTGTCTACTTATAGATTATAACTGAACTTCTACCATCACACTGCAAGAATCTAACAAGTATATCCACCCTGTTAAAAGATTTAAAATTACATTATTTATGCATTATGTACACACATTTGAGGACACATGTGAGATCAGAGGACAACTTGTGGAAGTTGGCTCTCTTTTTCTCCCGCCGAGATTCATCAAACTCAGTTATTAAGCTTGGTGACATGCTTGCTGAGGTGTCTCATCATCACATATCTAACCTTCTGAGAGACTGTCACCTACAAAGTTCACCTTTAGAATCGTGTGATAGTGTTACCAAAGCGGGGGAGCAAAAGTTTTCTGCTAAGCTACATGCGTAGCTGTCCTGGAGTGCAGGGAACCCATAGGCTGTAGGTTCAACTCATGTTTCTTGTGCATGTGCTATCAGTGATGGGACAATTCCTTCTCTTTTTAAAGATGGATTTATTTCATGTGTGTGAGCACTTTGCCTATTTTTTCTTGGGGAGGGGGGTTCGAGACAGGGTTTCTCTGTAGCTTTGGAGCCTGTCTTGGAACTAGCTCTTATAGACCAGGCTGGCCTCAAACTCACAGAGATCCACCTGCCTCTGCCTCCCGAGTGCTGGGATTAAAGGTGTGTGCCACCACTGCCCGGCTTGCACTTTGCCTATGAAGGTATGAGAACCATGTTTGTTTCTGATGCCCTTCAGGGTTAGAAGGTGTAGGATCATCTGGAAGTTGAGTTACAGGTGGTTGTGAACCACCATATGGGTGCTGGGAACTGAACTCATGTTCTCTGTGAAAGCAGCAAGTGCTCTTAACTGCTGAGCCATTCCTCTAGCCACACAAATTTCTCAAAATACTGAGAAATAATAAATGTGTAAATACATATGAAAGATAGATTATGACCTATTTGAAAGTCTGGGTCTTTGTCCTCATCAGACTTATATCCTTAGCACCTAGCATAGTACTTGGCCCAAAGTAAACACTTTTAATAAATTAATGAATGCCTTTGTTTGTTTGTGTTTTTGAAGTAGTGCTGGAATTTGAACCTAAAATCTCATGTGTGCTAGGCAAATTCTGTATGACAAAGCTACCCTCATCCCTGATGATGTTTAGTACTTTCATCCCTGTTATGATTTCTGAAGGTCATACAGTAAGCTATTTATATCTTTACCTCCTGAGGTATGTTTTGTCAATTGAGAGCGCGGAAGAGCTACGAGAATATGTGACAGATCTTCTCCAGGGAAATGAGGGGAAAAAGGGTCAATTCATAGAAGACCTTATAACTAAATGGCAAAAGAATGATCAAGAGTTGATTCCTGATTCTTTTCAGCAGTGCTTGAAAAAAGATGGTAAGTTAATGTGGTTGAGTGAGAACAGAAGTATTGATAAGTGCTTGGCTTTCTGTGTTTTCTGCCATGAGGTATTATTACTTGTCATAGCTAATGTAAACAGAATCACATGTGTGCATATTTTCAGCTTAGATCTAGTCAGTTAGTAATGACTGTTGCTCTAACCTATCGGCTCTTCTGTCTGCCCCTGCATCTCCAGTACTGGGATTATAGGCATGTTCCACCATACTGGGTACCAGCCACTGTTTTTAAATTTACAAAAACAAACAAATCACAAGAACGTTTCCAGGCACAGTTGTGGCTTTAGAATTTCAAAAAGTTATAAATCAATTAAAGAAATACCTTTCAAGGGCTCAGTCCTTACTCAGTAGTAAGGCACTTGCCTAACGTGTGTGAGAGCCTGTGTTCAATCCCCAACACTACAAAAAATTGAAGAATTTTTCTTTTTAAAATTATTTACTTATTTTGTTGTCAGGGTTTCTGCCCTGTTTAGTCCTTGTTCTGCCCAGTTCTTGCAGTTGTTAAGTCCCAAAGAAATCACACAGAGGTCTAATTTAATCATAAACTGATTGGCCCATTAGCTCAGGCTTCTTATTAACTCTTATAACTTACATTAGCCCATTATTCTTATCTGTGTTACCTTTTTCAGTGGCATAGTTACATCTTGCTTCTTCTGTGTCTGGACAAGACTGTAGAGGGAGCTTCCCTCTTCTCAGAATTCTCCTGTTCTCCTTGACCCGCCTCTACTTCCTGTCTGATTGTCCTGCCTATACTTCCTGCCTGGCTACTGGCCAATCAGTGTTTATTTAAAACATAATTGACAGAATACAGACAATTGTCCACACCATTATTTTATGTGTATGAGTGTATGTTTGTACCACATTCTTCCCTGGTGCCCTTGCAGGCCAGAAGATGGAACTGGATTCCCTGAAACTAGGGTTTCAGATGGTATGAACTGCCATGTATTTTACTTGTAATTAAGCCATGCCTAGCCAGTGATTTTAACTGCTGCGCCATCTTTCCAGCCCTGTTGTTGTTTAGTTTTCCTTGTTTTTTTCTTTTCCCAAGACAGTGTTTCTCTGTATAGTCCTGGCTGTTCTGGAACTAACTTTGTAAACTAGACTGGCCTCAGACTTAGAGGTTTCCCTTCCTCTTCATGTTGTGATTAAAGTCATGCACTACCATGCCTGACTCTAGCCCTATTTTTATAAATATTTTTAATGATGTATATACCCGAGTGAATGTATTGACTGATTATTAATAATTTTTAGAGGTTTCCATTTATATGGCACAAAAGATGAACACCAAACTAAATAATATGTCATTATTACACAGTGTAAAATATTACATTATTAACTTCTACTCAGCATTATTTGACTTCTCCTTTTCCTTTTTCTTCCTCCAGTACTGGGGATCCAACCCAGGACTGCTTGCATGCTAGGCCAGAACTCTCCGCCACTAACCCTGTTCAGAACTATTTGTCATTGACCGCAGTCATGAACATGATTTAATTTTGAGTCGAGAGTAGTTCTGCCTGACTTTGTATCTTGATTGTAAATATTAAGAATTACCTTCAGGTTTTACCTATAGAAGCTAAATAATAAACCTTGCCATTCTCTTTTTGTATTTGTTTGTATTTTATCCTTTAAAGAAATTTTAGATGGACAGAGATCTGTAGACCAGTTAAAGCGGAGTAGGAGGAAAGGAAGAAACAAACAGGAAGTTCCTGCATTTCCTGAACCTGACTTAACTATAGAGGTCAAAACACCTTTAGATTTGGCCAAGGTAAGGTTTTCCTGACTGTGTGAAGAAGAAATGACTAATATGTTTCAGAGACAACATGCAGAAGCTGACGCACCAAGGCAGATTCTAACAAGTGGGTGGACTGTAAGGACTGAAGCGGACAGTGCTGACATACTTCTGTCCCTGTGGTGTGAAGACCTTTTTTCTTTTTGCCATAAGGCAGCATGTAGCTCAGGTTGACCTCTAACTTGCTGTTAGCCTTGAACTCCTGATTTTCACACGTCTGCCTTCCAAGTTCTAGATTACAAGCGTGTGCCACCACTCGCTTACCACAAATTACAAGATTTATTTTATTTCATATTAAGGATCAAACTTAGGAATTTGTGCATGCATATCAGACAAGCACTCTGCTGCTAGGTACATTCCTAGCTTGGATGAATAATAATCAACAAAGCGCCCTACTTTCAACTTCAACATTTGAGAGGGCAGTAAAAGCTAAATGATTATATAGTTCTTGCTTTTACTGAAACTGCCAGGCCTACTTACCTAGCAGGGTAAATACCATGATCACAAAGGTGGTTTCCCCAGGGCGAGGCTTGTGCATTGCACTCTGAATGACACCCGTGATTTCCACAAATGTGGGAAATTCAACTACATCATTTGTGGTAGTGGGGGATTGTGTTTGAACTCATTCCTGCATCAAAACAAATATTAAAAAAAAAACACAAAAACAAAACCCAAAATCAACCAAACAAACAAGAAACAAAAGCAAAACAAAAAAACTGCTAGGCATCTGAGAGACCAGGGCAGGAAAATTGAGAGTTCCAGGCCAATCTAGGCCAGCCTAGAATACATAGTGAGACTTTATCAGAAAAATCAGGGAAAGATACATAAACAGTATTTCTGTTTTTAAAGTTTTCTCTTAGCCAGGCAGAGGTGGCACATGCCTTTAATCCCAGTACTCGGGAGGTAGAGGCAAGTAGATCTCTGTGAGTTTGAACCTAGCCTGGCCTACAAGAGCTAGTTCCAGGACAGGCGCCAAAGCAACACAGAGAAACCTTGTCTCAAAAACAAACAAACGAAAAAATTATTATCATTATTTAGTCCTCAAAACTCACTAATAACCAGACTGGCCTAGAATTCTCTGTGTATCCCAAGCTGTCTTCGAACTCAAAATTGTCCTCCAAGTGCTCAGGTTACAGACACTGTATCTGAATAACTGAAACATTTATAGTCAGCACAACTCAACAAGCTAAACGTTCCAAAAGAAGAAATTAATTAATCTAAGAAATAAAAAGAGTCTGAGTATGATACCATACCCAAAAAAAATGGGTGAGAGGTGGACATGGTGACCTCAAACTATAATCCCAGTGCTCAGGAATCTGAAGAAGTCCCTCACATTCAAGGCCAGCCTAATTCAGAATGAAATTTTTTCAGAAAAAACTAAAAGTAAAACTAAAGCAAAAACAAGGAGAATGGAATTTACAAAAATTATCGCAAGTGAACAAAGAACATCTAACCAATAAGTATATAAAGGTATTTGATCTCATTAGAAACTAAGGTGGCCAGTTCTTCATACTCTTAATTGCCTTGAGACTTTTTCAATTTTATCACCTAGAGTTTCTCATTGTGCCTCTGCCCCAAGGCATGAACAAACCAAGATGTCTATTCTAATCAGATAAATACACATTAAATCACTGAGATATTTCCTATCAGATTGTCAATGATTAAAAATAAAATTAGTGTTTGGCAGCATACATCAAGAACTGTAGAAATGTCTATGTATGTCTATGTATTCTTTACTTTGAATCCCCATTCCCCACAGGCTTGTATATGCTAAGTACTTTAACCACTGAGTGACCCCTATGTTGTATTGTTTTAGTGGCTAAAGATGTTCTATACTTTTTCTTGTTTCTATTGATAATTTGAATATCTGCTGCTGTGAAATTCCTAATTTTTATTTTATGACCACCTTTTTTTTAATCATGGTATTGTTTTCTTATATCTGTTTTTCCTCCTAGTAATAGGGATTGAATGTAGAGCCACATGCTTGCTAACCACATGCTATGCCACCAGTAACACTGTCTCTTTCTTATTTCTAAATTACTGATTTTTCTCATTTTATTGATTGCCTATGCTTTGAGATAGATGAATGTTATCTATTTTTGGAGATTTTTTAAAAAAAAAACTCTATTTATTCTTTGCGCGCGCGTGTGCGTGCGTGCGTGCGTGCGTGTGTGTGTGTGTGTGTGTGTGTGTACATGCATGTGCTCATGCGCCTGTGCATACAATTTGTGAGTATCTGTTCTCTTTTATAATGTGGTCCTGGGTTTCAAACTTAGGTCATTTAGGCTTGGCGAGCATCTTTACCTGCTAAACCATCTAACTAGTTCCCAAAGGCAATTTTTAGCTATGGCTTAATTTATCAAGGGTTGGGAGTATAGCAGAGCACATATCTAGTGTACAAAAGGCATGGGTTCGGGGGCTGGAGAGATGGCTCAGTGGTTAAGAGCACTGGCTGCTCTTCCAGAGGTTCTGAGTTCAATTCCCAGCAACCACATGGTGGCTCACAACCATCTTTAATGAGATCTGCCGCCCTCTTCTGGCGTGTGGGCATACATGGAGGCAGAATGTTGTATACATAAGAAATAAACACATCTTTAAAAAAAAAAAAGGCATGGGTCCAATAGCCTGCACCACAAGAAAAGAAAAAAAGGAAAGATAGGACTGAGGTTGTAGCTCACTTGGTTGGTAGAGTGCTTCCCTGGCATGTATGAAGCCCCTGCATTGCTTGTAAATTGAGTGTAGTTATGTACATGTGTTATCTCAGCACTCAGGTCGTATAGCTAGGAGGATCAATGTCATCTTTTAGTTTGAATATAATAGTTCAAGCCAAATGTTACTCAAAACAGAAAGAACCCAACTCACTACATTTGAATGATAAAACATCTATGAGTGCAATATTAAATATCTCAAGGGACAGCAATATGACTCAGTAGGTAAAAGTGCTTGCCACCAAGATTGATGACCTGAGTTCAGTCCTCTGAAGCCACATGGTGGAAGGAGAAAACTAACACCTGAAAGTTGTTCCCTGACCTCCACATGTATACTGTGGGATGTACACACACTTACATGTTTTTACACATGTAAAAATTCCTTTTGAAAACACATCAAGCTGTTGCCTTAATTGCTACATTATCTTGCTCTAAGTATATGAGGTGATTGAGAGCTGTTAGTTGTTGTGATATTTTGTTTGTGTTTAGCAAATAAAGCTTACCTGAAGATCAGAGTGCAGAACTAAGCCACTAGAGGCCAGGGAGTGGTGGCACACACCTTAAGTTTCAGTCCTTGGGAGTCCCACGCCTTTAACCCCAGCACTAAGTGGGTGGAGATGGGAAGGGATATGACTGGGCAGACCAAGGAATGTAAGCCAGGAGGAGACAAGAACTCAGTGCAGTTTTGAGTTGCATTCTGAAGATACTGTCAAAGGATGCAGTTTGAGGAGGCAGTCTGAGGACAGGATCGCCCCTTTGGTCTGAGCATCAGTAGAGATAAAAAGTCTCACTTCTGGCTGGCCGCTCTGCTTCTCTGATCTCTCAGCTTTCACCCCCTAATATCTGACTCCAGGTTTTTATTAAGAACAATTAGAATTCATGCTACACCTAACAAATAAAACAATTGTTAGAAAAGCAATTACCTTGCTTTTATCAGGCCCCCAATTATAAGTAATCTGTATTCTGTTTCTTTGGTGGTTCTTGGATAAGGTGCAAGTTGTTACTGAACAGAACTCAGACTTTCCTCCCAGAGTATTTTTGTTGTCATTGATGAGTGTTCCTGTAATGTCTTTGTACAATTAGGCACAAGAAAGCAATAACTCGGTAAAGAAGAAGACAAAATTTGTCAATTTATACACAAGAGAGGGACAGGACAAACTTGCAGTCCTGCTTCCTGGTCGTCACCCATGTGATTGCCTGGGACAGAAGCACAAACTCATCAATAACTGTCTGGTCTGTGGGCGGATTGTCTGCGAGCAAGAGGGTTCTGGCCCCTGCTTATTCTGTGGCTCTTTGGTAAAGTCCTTCTGTTTTGTTTTTGCTATGTAACCTGGTTGATGATGATGATGATGATTTTTGTCAACTTGAGTTATCTGAGAAGAGGGAACATCAGTTGAGAAAATGTTTTCATAAGATTGGCCTGTAGGTAATCTTGTGGAGTATTTTCTTAATTAGTAAGTACTGTGAGAAGGCCCTGCAACTGTGAATGGTGTTCCCTCTGGGAAGGTGTGCCTGGACTATGTAATAAAACAGGCTAATGTGTGATGATATTTGCCTGTAAGCCTAGCACTTGGGAGGCAGAAGCAAGAGAATATCTTTGAGTTTGAAGCCAGCCTGGTTTATAGTGAGTTCCAGGCCAACTAGAGATACAGAATGAGACCCTGTCCTTAAAAGAAAGAAAGGGAGAAAAGGGAGGGAGGAAGGCAGGCAGTAAGCAACATTCCTACCTTACGTCTATCAGTTCCTGTCTCAAGTTCATGCCTTGAGTTCCTGCCTTACTACCCTTAGTGATGAACTATTACCTAGAAGTACAAAATGAGATAAATCTTTTGGGAGCTAGAGATGGCTCAGTGGTTAATAGTACTGACTGCAGAGGATGTGGGTTCGATTTCCAGCAGCCCCATGGTGTCTCACAGCTGCCTATAACTCCAGTTCCAGCAAATCTGATGCCTACTTCTGACCTCTGTAAGACCCGGCATACATATGGTGAGCAGACATACATATAGGCAAAACATTCAAGTATTCATACAATAAAAAGAAATAAGAGTACAAAAAAGTGAACCTTTTCCTCCTACCAAAATTGTTTTTGATCATGGTGTTTTACCACAGCAACAGAAGCCCTAAAACACTATCCTTTGAGCTAATAATCACAGCCATTCAAATAATTTGTAATTTCTCTTAGGAAATTTCTTTCCTACAATATCTAGTGAAATCCCAGCACTCTGGAGGCCGAGGCGGAAAAGTGAGTCGCTGTCTAATTAGGCTGCCTCAAGCTCCCTGTGTAGCCCAGACTCATTAATAACTGTCTTTGAACTCCCTATATAAACCAGGATAGCCTCAAGTTTGTGGCAGTATCCTTACCTCGGTTTCTCAAGTACTTAAGTACTGAGATTACAGGTGTAGGCTATCATATTTGCCTTCCGATTCTTTCTTATTTTATGTGTATATATGTTTTGCCTGCATATATTTCTGTGTACCACATTTGTGCCTTAACTCCTCTGAGGCCATAAGAGGACATTGTATGCCCTGGAACTGAAGTTACAGACACGTGTGAGCTACCATGTGGGTGCTGAGAATTAAACCTAGGTCCTCTGGAAGAGTAGCCAATGCTCTTAACTGCTGAGCCATCTCTCTAGCTTCAAGCTTCTGGTTTTTTCTAACAAAATATCTCCTTATAATTTCTGTTGTCGATTTGGAGTTTATGGTTAGAACCAAAGGCTTTTGAAAAGTGCCATGTTATTTTTAGCATTCTCAACAGAAGCAAATATTTTTCCTTTAAAAGTATGTATATGTATATCTATATGTGTGTATATATTATTCTAACACATGATCATCTAGTTATTCAGGAAAAATATTACAGCAATGAACTTTTTGGGGGGTTTTGTTTTGTTGAGACAAGGTTTCACTGTGTAGCCCTGGCTGC